TTAACTCCCTGCCAATTTCCTTCTATTGTATTTGTGTGGCAGTTATCAGCGTAATTAACAAATTCTTTGAATGATTAACAGTTTTTTATTCTGCAAAATACTCTTTAAGTCTAGAAAAACAAGTGTAGTAATCACTGTGTATAATAGAATCTTTTTGTACATACTTCGTCAATAATTCATTAAAAGTAGTGGCTTTTCTATCTCTGACGGGTATTATAGTAACTTTTCTTTCTAGTGTTCTTTCAACCATATAAAAGACACAAACACCTCCAACGCGATGATATTTTACTTTACCAAATTTGCTCTAATCTATTTCTACTACAATCCCTGGTCCTCCTATTTTTCCTGTAACTTTATATACTTTATTTTCGATGCTTAGGATTGTCTTTCGAATGACTTTTCTTTGCATCTTTGTCCAATTCCAAAAACTCTCTAACCACGGTCTCTTTAGATTTAGCAGACCAAAGTTTAATTATCAATAAAACATTTATCAACGTCAATTTTTTATGATAAAAGGAGTATTTTCTAATAATGAAATTTTTTTTCTATATTTTAACCATATACATCGATATCTCTCGCTCTTATATAACATGCTTTTTGAACTACGCCTATACATATTTTAGGCAAAGCTTTGATGTATAGCGGCTTTTGGAGCTTGGGATCCAGATTGACCAAAAAAGTGGGTCCTAAAATTATTTATTTTTTACTTAAAAAATAAAATTTAGAAGATTGAGAACAGTAAAAAATATTTAATCCTCCAACTTTGGTTTAATAAAAGCTTAAATAGCTATATAAAAAATTAATTTTGTAATTTTTTATCAACATAAATCGTACTAAGCAAGAATTTATATGATTTCTGGTTCTGCATCTATACGGTACATCATTTTTTAGAGCAGACCAGCATCTTTCTATAGTATTGGTGTGAACACCTGTATTTGTGTCTTTAAAATACTTAGAATGATTATTTAAAGAATGCTGGACACCAATCTCTTCAAATTAGTGTAACCTTTACAATCACTATATATTATTAAATTTGGTGCTACACTTCTGTTTAGACGAAATCTTAAATTGATTTCGTTCTATTATTGACTTGAAATAACAAAATTCCTTTTTTGTTTGCTCTTTCAACAAGTCTGCAAATTCATACACCTTCTACTGAATGGCCTTTATTGTATTTTCTTTTACCTATTTTTGACTTATCAATTTCAATAATTTCATTTTTAGATTCTACATAATAAATGTTTAAATTAAATTTAATAATTAATCGTTCAAAAACCTTCTTTAAAACTCTATAGACACACTTTCTTGACATTTGTAAAATAAATGATATTTAGGACGTATGGGCCTTAGCTGACCACAGTTCAAATAACATTTAATAAAATAAATTTTAAAATTTTTATATTATCAAAAAGAATGTTCTTCCAAACTAAGAATTTTCTATAGACAGGACAAAGTTTATTACAACATCTATCAAATTCAAATTTTCTCTTTTCTTGTATAAGAAGCAAATTCTGTGCAGCTATAAAAACAGAACCATAAATATTTCTATATTTATCTAAAATATTTTTATCTAATTCTTTTCTTCTAAATCTTCTGAATTTTATTTTTTGGGGTAAAAAA